GATGTCGACACAAGTGTTGAGGTAGAGGAGTTGGACGTCAGTAAAATGAAAGAGGAGATGCTCAAACTTAAGCAACATATGGCCGAGATGAATCAGGACTGGTCTAAAGGACAATCACCCCAGCTTACCCTGCTAACCCTGCTTCCACCCCACCACCGGCTCAGGCTCAGGATCATCCTGCCATCGATCCAAGCTTTCCCATTTACCAACATTACCATGGCACTACTTCTCATATGCCACAAGCTCCACTACCAAAATCAATTCCATACCCCCTCCGCCAGTCACCCCTGTCTTTGTGGCATCTCCACCAGCTGCACTCCATAGATCCTCGAGTGAGCCTATGTTCCAAGCTCAAGACAACCAGTACTACTCCCTGGAGCCCACCTTCAAAGCTCCCAAAACCTACCCCTATAATCCACGTTCTGATCTCCCGAGAGAAGCTGAGAGACCAGCCAAACCCGAACATGAGGAGATGTTCAAGAAAGTTAAGAGCCTAGAACAGTCATTCCGGGACATGCGAGGATTAGGAGGTCAAGTAAGTGTGGCCTACAAGGACCTATGTCTATTTCCAAATGTGCAATTGTCGTCAGGTTTCAAGATGCCCAAGTTTGATCTATACAATGGGCACGGTGATCCAATAGCACACTTAAGATGTTTTTGCAGTAAGATGAGGGGAGTCGGAGGAAAAGATGAATTGTTAATAGCTTACTTCAGTCAGAGTTTGAGTGGATCAACATTGGAATGGTACACCCGCCAAGATCACGGAAGATAGTACACATGGGATGATCTGGCACAAGCATTCACTTGTCACTTCTAGTATAATATTGAGATCATTCCAGACCGACTATCCTTGACTAAACTGGAGAAGAAGCACAGTGAAAGCTTTAGAGAATATGATTCCCGATGGAGGGAGCAGGCAGCAAGGGTAGATCCCCCAATGAAAGAGAGCGAGATGGTTGATTACTTTTTGCAGGCTTTAGAGCCGACCTACTTTGGACATTTAGTGTCCGCAATCGGCAAGTCTTTTAATGAGGTTGTAAAAAAGGGAGGCATGGTCGAGGAGGGACTTAAGTCCAACAAGATCATGAGTTATTCACCAATCAAGGCGACCACCCAGGCCATCCAAAACGGCACTGGGGGTGTACTTGGGAAAAAGAAGAAAGAAGATGTTGCAACAATTGAGTCTGGAGCCTGGTTCGGATCTAGAGGCCNTAACAAATTCTGATGTCATTTTCTTTATAAAAATACATGGACAAATAACATCATTTATTTAACCTTCTTTCATCATATATGGACTGAGGCGATTATATCACATGTGCCCATATTGATTTAAATCGTACAAATATCTTTGTAATCTGATTGAGTACATTTCACGATACTTTGAACTATATGCTTCAGGTATTTTAAATCCTTCGGGGATCTTCATATAGACTTAATCAAACGAGTCATATAGGTTATGACTTGCAGTTAGATGGCATGATATCTTCAGGTATCTTGACTCCAAGTCCGATCCTCACAATCTTTTACAATATTATGAACTATATTGTATCAAATATATCGTCGACGATCATTTTGTATCGATTCCTAAGCGACATAACTTATTGAGATCTCATCACTTTCTTTATTTTCAGGTACCTGAACTTCTTCTGGAGTTTCATGAAATGTTATGCCGTGGGCTCTTCTAAAGCTCATTTCCTCCTCATTATGATCATTTTTATCATTTTCTCCTATCATTTTTCAAGGATTGTTACCTTTGGAACCAATCGGTTTACTACGCTTCATGCATGCAGTAAACTTTATCCTTCTGGACTTTAATTTTAATATGAGCATTTGCAGCTGAAATATGATATTTAATTTTGGATCAGCAAATGCTTTTGGCATTTGATTTGAATTATCTTCTAAGTAAGGATCATATTAATGATAGTTCGATTCATATAGCATATTTTCCAATTGTTTATTCCATCCCCTCAAATGTTAGAAAAACTAACATATATCCCCAATCTTCTTTGGGAAACCTATCTTTGTGCATTATGGTAGAGAAATTAATCATATACCACACATCAAAAGTTATTAGATAGTAAAAATATTAGGTTTCTGATCCTAAACCAATTGTAAGGGGATGACTTATCATATTTTGTTAGTCTGATGCATACAAGTGTTGCTGTATGCAATTTAGAAAATTTTAGACCAACACATGAGGTTTTATTCTCATAAGCAATAGTTTAATCATTAATAGGAGGTATTCAATACTAAACTAGCTTGGATATAAGCCAGCATCATCAAGATGAACTATCTTGATTTCATAATCTGAAAATTATGCTCTTAATTGAGAAAAGCAATTTCAAATACCAAACTGCAGGTTGACAATAAACACACATGTAACCATATCATATATGAATATATAAGTGGTTTACATGATAGGTGAATGAGCCCATATTTACCTTTTATATATTCCAGACTTCAGGGGTCTTAGTCCCAACTTTAGCTGGTATAATCAATTTATTATGGGAACAAACAACACAACAGAATTCTTGAAGAACCTTCTAGTTCTTCTGCATATGCTTATCTGAATTCTCAAATAGCCCATTTAAAAATGTCAAATAAAAACTTCAAGTTTATTATGGCATATGCTATCTCTTAGTAAGCTTCTGCTTTGCTATGGCATAAACTTTTGCATTAGTAAACTTCTGATTTACTGTGGCTACTTTTGTATCAGCGAATTTCTGCTTTACCGTAGCTATTTTTGCCTCAGTAAAACTTTTGATTTACTGTGACTGATTTTGTATTGGTAAACTTCTGATTTACTGTGATACATGATATAGTACAAATTGAAGAATAAGGTGAGTCACTTCTCATATACATATTATTTTACCCCCTATGATTGTGGAAACATGAAGATTTCCAATCTTCCAATCATTTGTAATCTCAATATGATAGCCATTTATATTACTACCCCCGTCCCAATTTATGTGAACCTATTTTCTTTTTAGTCCGTTCAAAAAAGAATGACCCATTTCTAAATTTAAAAATAATTTTGCTTAAACTTACAATTCTACCCTTAATGAGAAGCTTTTATAACCACACAAATACTCTGGGCCCCTTTTTGAATTGTTTAGGACTACAAATTTCAAAAGTCTTCATTTTTTCTTAAATTTCGTGCCCAGTCAAACATGTTCACATAAATTGGAACGGAGGGAGTAGTAAATTTCAGGTTTACTACAACATATGTTTTGGCCATAATCATATAATATGAATGACATATTTGTATATAAACTCTTCGAGAGCCTTCGTTTATTATCCACAATCTAATATTTATTGGACACTAGTAGTGTCATGTGTCTTCTAGACAAATAACTAGCTCTTCAGGAGTTGTTGATACATTTTGTACTATCAAATATTGCTCACACACTTCTGGTATCATGAGAGAAAATTTCTTCAAAATGACATAAACAAAATAAATATGATAGTAGACATCATTATCAAAACATAACTTTTATTTATGTACAATAATTACATAACCATACTATCTACTATAAATAACAAAAATTAAAATATTTATATTTATACAGATTCATCACCGATTACATGGCTTGTTTTTCCTTCTGGGAGTGTAAAGTAATAAGCTATATCCAAATGCATGAAGTCTAAATTATCTTCAGAAATAAAATTTGCTTAAGCATTTTTCTCTGCCTTCTTCACGGAGGCTTGATACAGGTCAACCAGGTGCTTTGGCGTACGATATGTACGTGACCAGTGCCATTTTCCTCCACATCTATAGCATGCATTTTCTGCCCTTGCTGCTTGCACCGCTTCATGCTTTTATTCCTTTTTCACTGCTAGTGGTGAGGAGGGTTCTTTGGTGCATTATTATTAACATGATTAGAGTTTCTTCCCCGAGCACGGCTATGACCACGACTGGGGCCACATCCTCTTTTACGCTTAGCTTGGTGGAAGTTCGTCTCATTCACTTCAGGGAATGGACAAGAACCAGTAGGTCGGCTTTCATGTTTTTTCATTAATAGCCTATTATGTTGCTCGGCTACAAGAAGATGTGAGATAAGTTCATAATACTTTTTGAATCCCATCTCTCGATATTGTTGCTGCAGGAGCATATTTGAGGCATGAAAAGTGGTGAAAGTTTTCTCCAACATATCATGATTAGTAATATTATCACAACATAATTTCAATTGGGAAATAATTCTGAATATAGCAGAATTATACTCATTGATAGATTTAAAATCTTGCAGTCTTAGATGAGTCCAATCATAACATGCTTGTGGAAGAACAACTATCTTCAGGTGGTCATATCTATCTTTCAAATTATTCCACAGTATGACTGGATCTTTAATAGTGAGATATTCCATTTTCAAGCATTCATCAAGGTGATGCGTAGGAATATCATTGCTTTGGCACGGTCTTGGCGTGATGCTTGATTTTTGTCCTTGATGGTGTATGCCAGACCCATCACATCAAGATGAATTTCAGCATCAAGCACCCAAGACATGTAGCTTTTGCCCGATATATCCAGGGCTACAAATTCAAGTTTAGAAAGATTTGACATTATTTAGAAAAAGAAAGTTCATACCTCTGATACTTTCAAAGTATTTGCTGGAGATGGCAGAGTCTCGTGCCGATAACATGTTATAAAATAAAGACTGTAAAGTAAGACAAGTTTAGAGAGAAACAAATATATTATTCAAATTTCAAACTTACGTACATAATGAACTGAAATCTCCTATATTTATAGAAGAAAGCAAGCTGCTACTGTACTAGATATAGATAATCTTCTATCGAGGTAATGTTTATCCGTAACGGAGTACCGATAGGATAAGCTCATTGTACCAGATATAGATAATCTTCTACCGGGGGTGATATTTATCCATAACGGGGTACCGAAAAGATAAACTCATTGTACCAGATATAGATAATCTTCTACCGGGTATGATATTTATCCATAACGGGATACTGAAAGGATAAGCTCATTGTACCAGATATGAATAATCTTCTACCATGGGTGATGTTTATCCATAATGGGGTAGTGAAAAGATAAACTCATTGTACTAGATATGGATAATCTTCTACTTGGGGTGATATTTATCCATAATGAGGTACCGAAAGGATAAGCTTTTTCAGGAGCCTTATGTCCAATAGAGTACTAAATAGATAAACATATTTCCGGCAGAGTCTCATATAGATAAGCTTTTTCAGGAAGCTTATTTACAACAGAGTACTAAATAAACATCTATAATATAATATATTTATAACACATACAAAATAATACATAAATTCATGCGTAACTAAATGTGAAACGATTATGTTTTACTTATGCAGTCAACAAATATTATATTAGCTTATGTGAAATTTTATGTTGAGTTAATTCATCTAATACCCCAACCAAACGACCCTTTAATGTTTACTGGTTTTGTTATTTGTCATCCTCTTTTGCATTACTTGCTTTATGTAGCTGACCTACATAGAGAAGATGCTCACATCCAGGTGACGGTAAAGCTTAGACATGATGGGTTTTCAGTAAATATTGGTTTTGAACATAATCATATAATTATTCAGTTCTTAAAATCTTAAAAATTGAATTTATCAAATTTAAATTATATGCTAATCGCCTTCACTCAAATTATGTATTTGCATAGCGTTCTAAGAAATCTTCTCTAATGTGGTGCTTATACTTCTCTGAATCGATGGTCTATTGGAAACAACATTTCTATCTTCACAAGGTAGGGATAAGGCTGCGTAGACACTAATCTCTCCTGACCCTACTATGTGTGATTATACTGAGTTTGTTATTGTTGTTGCATAGTGTCATAAGAGAGTCTAAATCTTATACACTAATGGTATAATACATATTTAAAATAAACTACTATAACAAGTTACTTATTTATCAGCAATTTACCATCAATATTTACTATAAAAAAATTAATTACAATTAGCTTTTAAGTGATTTACTATAATCATGTGAGTATTTTTAAAATTTGTAAAAAAAAAAGCTAAGTGAATTCAAATACTAATAAATATCCAAAGTTGCTCCTTTACTATTTGAATTTACTAAATTTTATCCTCAATTATACTTTTTAGTTAATTTGTACCTTTACTATTTGGGGTCTGGGGAGGGTAATATGTACGCCCCTCGGGGTAGAGGTAAGGTCTGCGTACATATTACCCTCCCCAGACCCCACTTGTGGGATTACACTGGGTTGTTGTTGTTGTTGTTGTTGTTGTACCTTTGTTGTTAACAAATCTTCTCGAATTTTCCCTTTATCATTAATCGAGCTTCAACGTAAAATGATTGGATGCCATGTGTTCATATTTTTTGAATGTAAAAGTCAAAATTTACTTCACAAATTTTGATTATTACCCTCAAATTGAATTGTCGTTAAGGATTAAAGAAAAAAAAAAGATTTTTTACTAAAAACTAGTAATAAATAATGTTTGATCAAAAGTTTAACAAATAGGAAAGTTTCTTATATTTCCAAAAAGTAATACAAATTCGACCCTTTCACCAATTTAAATTTGAAGGCCCAAAAAAGGAGAATTAGCATAGTTTATGATTATCCAAGAAGAACATAGCAGCAAAGTTACGCTGAGGCTTCAGGTCGGAGAAGCTCCCTAATGAGCTGATCAGTTTTCTTCTATCCAAATCTCCGCTATCAATACCAAAATGGAAGCAGCGCCCATTTTGGTCTGCTCAAAGCTACCCTCTTTCAGTTCTAGCTCATCAAAATATAACCCCTTTTCTTACAGACCTTTCGACAAACAGGTGGTGCGCAAGTTTTGTGTAAACAACTTAAACCCCCGGAGAAATCTTGAAATACCCAAATCCCATTCGCGTAGCTCTTTATCAATTCCCTTCAGTAATGTTAGTTCTTCTCCGTCCCAGAAATTCTCCTGTTGGTCGCCGTATAATGGTAGATTTGGGTCATTACTGCCAGTCCAATGTTCACATTCGTATACAACAGAAACTAGAAAGGTGTTATCTTTGGAGTCACTAAAGATGGGGTTTTCTCAATTGACCCCATTTGGCTTGTTTAAGTGGGCTTTGGTGTTTTCAGTTACTATTGCTGCTACAAAGTGGGTTGTGAATGTACTGTTGAATCCATTCTTTTGGATGTATTTTAGTATGACATGGTTATTCTGGCCTTGGTTAGTTGCCATAAGCCTAGCAAGTTACAGTCTTTATTGCTTAAACAAGCTTTTAAATGGGGAAGCAAGTGAATTAGAGCAATTTGCTATTGTTACTTCAGCTTTCACTTGGCTTACACTTGTCCCACCTGCACATTTCAATGGTTTTCTTGAAGGCTGGCCTGTTGTGTTCTTTTTCGTGTACCATTATTTCTTTTTCTTGAATGTGAGTGTTCGAAAACGACTATATGGTGATTACAACCCGAGAGAGCATGACCCCAAATGGGATATTAGCCTACCCAATTGGAAGAAGTTGTTGTTTTGTGTTGGAGTTATGGTTGGTCATTGGCTTGCAGCGTTTGAAGGGCCGGAATTGCATCTTATCCCTGGAGGATGGAGCAATGTGGGTATATGGGTTTTGATCTTGATGACTTTGTTTATGCAGTATCATTCGACGTTGTATTTAGCCAAGTATTCGGAGAAGGTGGTTGTGCCTACAGCTGTCATACAGTTTGGCCCGTATCGGTTTGTTCGCCATCCTATTTATGCTTCGACCATGCTCTTGTTTGTTGCTTACTGTGTTGCACTTAGGGCGCCTTTGAGCTCTCTCTTCATTGCAGTCGTTTGCTCGCTGTACTATGGGAACAAAGCTAAGTTAGAGGAAAGTTTGATGGTAGAGAACTTTGGTGAGAGATATACGGAGTATGCAAGTAAAGTTAGATACAAGCTTATTCCTTTTGTTTATTAGCGCACGTTGTTGTGAGTCGCATAATGTTTTCTAGTGTAATGCGGAAAAAGAGAATGAGAATATGAACACCTTAATTGGCTTTTATTCTTTTGTTTCAAATGTAGTTCCCTTGTTGCTTTTTTTCTTTTGTCGGGATTTCCTGTTTATTGAACTTGTTTTTAACTTACTCAAGGCCACTTGTATCCTCATGATGCAGCTTTTCTGCATTGCTCGTTACCATTGTTGAACAATTCATGAATAGCTTGACAGAGATAATCTTTCCTGTTTTCAGATTCTTAAAAGTTTAGGTTTGAATATTCCACTATCTTGGTAGGTTGTGCCTTTATAACATGTTAGAAGACTTGAGAGAGTTAGGCTTTTTCTCCAGTTGATTTTCTTTAGTAATGTACATTTTAACCCAAATAAGTTGTCTCTATCGTGGAAGATATACTTTTGCTTGTCGATCTTCAGAGTGAACCTTTAATTGTTTATATTTGGATATTTCTACTTTGACTATTGTGACTTAGAAATAGGCTTCTGGAAATTCCTTGTTTCCTTTCTAAATAAACTGCAAAAAGAAGAGTCTACAAATGCCTGAAGAGCTGACATGGTAACATAGATCCTCTCTTAGGGGATATTTCTGTCTTGTTGAAAAAGCCTTCTTCTGCATTCAGGATCCAGTAAACAGAATTAAGTTTTAGATTTCCATCATAACCTCTCGACTTTACCATTTATTGTTCCTGGGAATAGGTTTATAAGGTACATGTCTTTACTGTTTGTCTTCGCCTAAAAGGCAATAGCACTGGCTTTATATATGTTTTCACCTAAACAAAATTTCAGATTTCCAACCCGCTGAATGCATTAGTGTTGCTGTTATATCCTTTTCCCATAAATGTTGGAATTAGTGGAAACAGGTTTTGTTACGTTGGTGGCTAGACTCTTACATTTGGTCTTCTCTGTGCAAGATGTTGATGTTAGAATGATTTCTGTTTGATTTTGCTGGGCACTTTCGCCGCATATTGTGACCGATATTATCTGTTTAACTGCTGGTCTGTTATTAGGATCCTAGAGCGAGATTTTTTTTTATCCTCATTTCTTGCCAGACTTTTGTTGGTCAATAATTACTTTGCACCAATATTTACCATTCTCAAAAATATTTACTGGTACATCATGTCAGTGTTTTTTGATCATTGCTTAGTTTTGTGTATTTCATGTTCTTAGTTTTCTCCTCGTTTCTTCTCCGATCATGATAGATGAGCCAATTCATGAAACTGTTTGACACTAGCAATTTTTTTGGTTGATCTTTAAACTTTTATTTATTGTTATCTACTATGACATGTCTTACAAAGGAAAATGACATTTTAATTTTCACTCTCATTCGTTGTTTCCAACTCAGATAGCCACTCTGCGTTCAACTAAAATTTCTTAGAATGTCTTGCTCTCCCTTTTCAAGATGTTATAAACATTGATTGCTTTTGAAGGTTTATCAATTAACTGGTTATAGGTGGAAAAATATAACAGGATCCCTTTGTTCTTCCAGGGATATGTTAATGATGACAAACATAAACTTGAATGGAACAACGGGTAGTAATCTTGCTTTTCATGTGAAGTTCTGTTTTCTTTTCTTCATTTTGAGACAGCTCATGATTAGGGATGGCAATGGGGCGGTGCGGGTTTTCGCTTATGTGGGGCAGGGGCGGGGTGGATGGTTGTGGGGTGATGCGCTGCGGGGTGGGTTGAAATATTTTTTTGTTAAACTCAACATGGTTGCGGGGCGGTTGCGGGTTTTAGGAAAATTTGAGCAATCCATAGTATCTGGTTATATAATTCTTCTGCTAACTTAGTTGGGTTCATATTTGTCAAGAAACGATCCTAAAAGATTTTAAATGATCAGTAGGGTAATAAGTAATAACAAACATTTTACCCCTTTAATTTTCTGGGTTTGCTTCCGTTCTAATAATGCTTTTGATTCTTGATTTTAATAGCCCTAAAATAAAGAGTTTTGACGGTTCCAATAGTTTCGTATGGTGATTTTGGACTTAGGAGCGTGTCCGGATATTGATTTGGAGGTCCATAGGTCGTTTCAACTTTGAATTGGCGAAAGTTAGGAAGTTGAAGGTTTGGAAGGTTTGAAAGTTTAACCGGGAGTTGACTTTATTGATATCGGGGTCCGATCCTGATTCTTGAAGTTGGAATATGTCTGTCATGTCATTTATGACTTGTGTGCAAAATTTGAAGTCAATCGGAGTTGGTTTGGTGTGAATCGACATTAGTTTTGGATTTCGGAAGTTCATGGTTTCATAGGCTTGAATTGGATTGTGATTCGTAGAATCGATGTTGTTTCATGTGATTTTTGGCCTCGAGTAGGTCCGTTATGGGTTATGGCACTTGTTGGTATATTCGGGCGGGAGTCCCGTGGGCTCCGAGTGTGATTTAGATTGAATCCGGAATAAGTTTGGACCTTGTGTGATTGCTGAAGGTTGTTGTGTCTGGTGCAATCACACCTGCGCATTTTGGGTCGCAGGTGTGGCGCCGCAGGAGCAGCCCTTGAACCACAAAAGCGAAAGTAGCCTTGCCCAGCTGGGACCACAAGTGTGGTCATTTGTCCGAAAAAGCGGACTTGCAGATGCGGAGGTGGGCATCGAAGTAGTGCATATTTGCAAGGAAATCATTGGGGTAAGAAATCCTAACTCGGTTTAGGCTAAATTACACGAATCTATTGTTAATTTTATCATTTAATTAGTGATTTGAGTTGAAAATTTGAGAAAAAATTGTGAAAATTTCTTGGGCTAAAAATTTGTGGATTTGAAAGGCGATTTGAGGCAGGATTTGAGTAATTCTTGTATGATTGGACTCGTTATCAAATGGGTGTTCGGATTTTATAATTTCGGTCGGGTTCCGAGACGTGGGCTCGGGTTGACTTTTTAAGTTGACATTTTATTTCTTTGTAAATATCATAACTTTATTAATCGAAATAGTTTCCTATGGTTTATATTTATGGTATAAAGTTGTTTGGCTAGATTCGAGTCGTTCGAAATTGGATAATAGAGGGAAAAGCTTACTAGTGGATTGAGTTTGCGTGTTTTGAGGTAAGTGTCTTGCCTAATTTTGTGTGGGGGAATTACCCCTTAGGATTGATGTTGTTTGTGATAACTGTGAGGTGCGAAAGTCGTGTACACAAGGTGACAAGTGTGTGCACAGGGTAAATGTGAAATTTTTTCGATTTTAGCTATGTAGATTTCTTTCATGCCTTAATTGAGTTACCTTAACATGTTATAATCATCATTTCTAGTCTATCTTCACATGCTCTACTTGTCTTATCTCTTACTTGTTAATTGCCCTACATATTTAGTTGAAGTTGTTGTTGTTTCCTCTATTCCTTATTCATTATTTAACCGTGAATTCTTTACTTGAAGTTGTTATTCTTGGAATATCTTATTGATGAAACTGGTATTGAGTTGTAAAGGCCGTGATTCACATTGAGGCAAAGTGTTAAGTTGTGAAATACTATTCCGTTTAGTTATTCACTTACGATTGTTATTGTTAAGACTCTTTTGTACATTGTGGTTGATCCATGTGCTCTTTATTGTGAAAACACTGTTATTGTTGCTTTCTTGGCAAGTTGTGATATTGGGCCCTTAAGGTACGATTTGTGATACGTTATGATATTGATATGCATGTGGTGGTATAAGGATTTGGGATTGAAAAGTATGCGGTAAGATAAGGTGGGTTTGATACGTGTGGCTAGTAGGGGAACTACTAGAAGTCACGCGGTGTGATAAGGTGGGCTAAAACGCGGGAATCTATTTCGGAAAAATAATTTTCAAAACTAAATTCAAGGCTCCCGTAGTGATATAAGTAAATATTGTAGAATATTATTAGTGATTTGAGACTACGAGGTGGTACCTCGGTAGTGACTCTTGTTGGTACTTCTCTATTACTTCACTTGTGTTTGGTTGTTTTGTGTCCTTGACTTAACATTTCTTGTTTTCTTCTGTGATGCATTATTTTTCATGATTCTGTGTAGTTAATTTGGCATATTTCTTACTTGTTTCATTTCCATTGTTATTATTGTTGCACTGTTAAATTACTCGTTTTGTCTTTTATTTATTTCAGTAGGGCCTTGATCAGACCTCGTCACTACTCTATTGAGGTTAGGCTTGGCACTTACTAAGTACCGTTGTGGTATACTCATGCTACGCTTCTGCACATCTTTTGAGTAGATACAGGTACCTCCTACCAGTTTAGGCATCGGTGAGTTGAGTTCATACTTGGAGATTTCAAGGTACACCTGCCGACGTCTGTATGCCTCGGAGTCACCCTCTATTTGACTTCTGTATCTTCCTTCTTTTATTAAATACATCTGTATAGGGATGATTATGATACTGTTGTAGTGCTTATGACTAGATTTCATCAAGTTTTGGGGAAATTGTATATGTTGAGTTGTTGAGTCTTCTTTATTAAAATTGTTGAGTATTTGAGAGTTTACTTATTATTTCAGTTATTTTCGCATGTTTATTTTCCATTACGATATCCTACGGAGGAAAATTGGAGTCATGACAAGTTGGTATCAGAGCTCTAGGTTCATAGATGTTATTAGTCACAAGCAAGTTTAGTAGAGTCTCGCGGATCGGTACGGAGATGTATGTACTTATCTTCGGGAGGCTATGGAACTATTAGGAAAAGTTTCCTTATCGAGCAAATTTGTTGACATCGAAATTCTAAATCTCTGTCTTTCTATTCTCTCACAAATGGTGAGGACATGCACAACTGGATCTGATGATCAGACACCTGCACCCCCTGCCAGAGCTGCGAGAGGCCGGGGTCGGGGCAAAGGCCGAGGACGGGCACGTGGTGCAGCTAGAGAACTTGCCCGAGCTGCTACAAAAGAGCCACCAGTAGCTCCAGTTGGAGGGCGGGTACCTGAGACGCCTGTTACCACCCTTGCACTCCAGGAGATCCCCGCCTAGTTTTTGAGCATGGTTGGCACTCTAGCTCAGGCAGGGTTGATCCCACTTGCTCCTGCCACATCTCAGGCCAGGGGAGGAGCACAAACTCCCACTGCCCGTACCCCAGAGCAGCGGGTCCAGGTTGACAAGGTCCTAGAGGTCATACCAATGCAGCCGGTTGTTCCATTTCAGCCCGAGGTTATGGGCAGTAGCTTCTGAGGGGGAGCAACTTAGGCTCGAGAGGCACAAGAAGTACCACT